AAATGTAGAGCAAGAAACGTGAGGAGAGAATATTTAGGAATATCTGTTTTAAAGAAATAGATAAAGGATGGTGTACCTGTGAGGGAGGCAGAGCTTTAGGAGACATACGAGAGACAGTGTCATGGATGCCACTGGAAGAAAATTTTTTTATTTTGCTAATGTTAGTATTTTATTCTACTTCTTTGTAGAGTTTTTCTTCACACATAAATTAATTTAGAAACATTGGATCATATCATACGTGTCGTTTTATAACATTCTATTTCTACCCAACCTTATGTCATGAACATTTTTCCATGTCACTAAGTAGTCTTAAAATTATTTTTTTAATGGCTGCTTTTAAAGTATTTTATTGTAAATAGGAACCATAATTAATTTATTCTATTTTGGACCTTTAAGTTGGTTTATTTTTGGGCTTTTTTTAACAACACTGCAATAAACATTCCAGTACGGAAATATTTGTGTGGCTCTTCAATGATTTCCCCAGTACAAATTCTTAGAAATAGGAATTTCTTGGTCAACGTGTATGAAAAAACACTTTTATGTGTAATCTAATAATTAAATATTATCTCTTTATATACCTTGCCAAATTGCCTTCCAGAGAGATTTTTCTGTTCTGGCAGTGTAAGAAAGTAATGGGCCGAATGTATTGAACATGAAAAAAAATTTGCATAAATGTTAGGAAAATTAATGTCATTACTATTTTAGAGGATCTGTTTCCAAGATTGCTATGCGCACCTATTGACAGGAACTGCCTGTGAGCATTTTGTTGTTTTTTAATTTTTAAAACTAGTTTATTATATTTCATTTGCTTATTTATTTATTTTGTGAGGAGGATTAACCCTGAGCTAACATCTGTTGCCAATCCTCCTCTTTTTGCCAAGGAAGATTGGCCCTGGGCTAACATCCATGCGCATCTTCTTCTACTTTATATGGGATGCTGCCACAGCATGGCTTGACAAGCAATGTGTTGGTCCGTGCCTGGGATCTAAACCTGTGAACCCCAGGCTGCCAAAGCAGAGCGCATGAACTTCTATGCTGCTGGGCCCGCCCCTTATTTTATCTTTTAAAATAAAAATTGTATATATTGGGCTGGCCCAGTGGCATAGTGGTTAAGTTCTCGTGCTCTGCTTCGGCAGTCTGGGGTTTGCAGGTTTGGATCCCCGTATGGACCTATGCACCACTCATCAAGCTGTGCTGTGGTGACATCCCATACACAAAATAGAGGAAGATGGGCACAGATGTTAGCTCAGGGCTAATCTTCCTCAGCAAAAAAATAAAGAGGAAGATTGGCAATGGATGTTAGCTCAGGGCTAGTCTTCCTCACCAAAAAAAAAATTGTATATATTTAAAGTGTACAACATGGTAATTTGACATACATATACATAGTGAAATGATTACTACAATCAGATTTTGAAGGAACAAAGGAAGGCCAACAATAGCAAATACCTCACATCAGCATAAGAAGTTGAAGATTATTGACTTTGGTGACTATGTATCTGTTGGTGGCATCTGAGAGTAATTTCCCTTGAGAGGAAGAGACTGACACCAAACTGTAGCTCTCAACTCCAAAATTTTATTAATATTTCTCTTTTCTTTTGTCCATTTATTTTGCTTCCTTTGAATGCCTTGTAGTTTTGAAACAAATTATTATACAGGGAAAAATGTTTTAAAAATTCAATTTAGTTTTCTATATTTTCAGGAATGTCAATTTTTCACCACCACTCTTTTTTTCTCCATTTCTCCTTCATCCATGCTCCCTCATTCATTTCCTGTTTGAGAGCTTCGGCTGAAGTTCTCAGATAAACAGCTTCATAAATGATGCTACAGAGACAAATCAGGGATGGGTTGTCATTTGTATAAAGAAAGAATAAGCCTTTGGGATTCAGAGTGTGGACTTCCATAAATATCAAACTTGATTTTTGTTTTTGCTTGTGGTGGGAATAGCATTTAATGTTACTCTTTGAGTCATTGAATGGATGTCTGTTGAGCTCATTAATGTTGCTCATTCAGAGAACCCTTTATGGACATCTACTCCATAACTTTATTACCGTTTGTGGGAAAATATTTGACCCAAATACTTTTTGCTCCTGTGTGACATGGATATTAATTCTATCACAGTGAGCTGTTCCCTTTCTCAACCACAGAGATATACAGTCCAGTCATTCTAAATATACATAAATCCTGTTGTTTCTTTTATAGACACAAACTTTAGCATGAAACTGTTCTGTTTGTTTCCCCTCCTTTTTGCTTCTCAATTTCGGAAATATCTCCCCCAACGCCATATTCAATAGGGTATCTGGTCCTAAAGCTGGTCATCTGGGCAAATTCAGGATGTTCAGAATTCTGGAAAAGAACTTCTCTCTCTTTGGATGATGCATTTTTAGGACCATATAGGAAGCCGCATGGATGACTGAGTGGATGGACTCATTTCTAACTTCTCTAGGGTTGGATGGGTCAGATGAAGACTCTTGGTATCCTTGCTCCTTGGTGTCATTTTGTTATGTTGGCATAACAAAATCCAGACATGGTAACTTCTGAGAAATTATAAGGTCAAATCTATCTTATGACATTTTCCCTGAGTCTTGATAGGTTTCCTTTACCTCTCTCTGGAAAAAGGAACTCAAAGTTCCCCAAACATTTGTTTACAGTTATCCCAGCTGACTCTTGGAATGTTTCTGGTAGAATAATGATCTAAAAGTCTGATGCTTCCAGGGCAAGAGTTTCAGGATAAAAGTAATATCCTAGCAAGTATAATTTCTAGTGATATTCTGACTCTTTCATTGAAAAAACACTATCCCAAGACATAAAGTTTATCTTTTGACTACCCTTAAGAATTTTATTATATTTCAGAGCCAAGTCATGTTTAAAAATGAACTAGAAATGTTTGGTGAGAGACGTTCTTCAAATATTTCTTTGTGGAACACGTTCTGACATTAAATGAATTCATAATCTAATGTAACTCCGGAGAGAACCTAACTGATGCTTAGAGTGTGGATTAGCTAAAGTTTTGTGAAGCCTTGTGTTACAGACACAAATTTTGCTTTAGATAAAATAAATAAGAGTTTAAAACCGCTATGAGGTTTACCCATTCCTCCAACATTGAAACAATAAGAAATTAGCAAAAACGATGTCAGGCAAAACAGGAAAATCCAATCGAAGTGAGCTGTTTCTGATAGAACACATTTAGAATCATAAAAATGATAATTAGAAATAAAGTAATTCTTCTTAGTTTAGAATATTTTAAAATTTGATCACTGTAAGAAAGAACACAGATGTGGTTCTCTTAGTTTAACAGGAGAGGCATTACTGTTTAGATCATACTGAATTCACTTATGTTATCTTTGTATTAATTCCATGAAATGATATCTGAACATATAGTTAATTTGAGTGCTGTAAAAATGGATAGGACAAGAAGATAAGTCATCATGCTCCCTTATGTAGTAGAAGTAGAAACACTACAAAGTCATTCCATACCTATTCTGTTTACTGCACAGTTAATGTAAAAAATAAATCTCTAAAAACAATTTGAAAAATACATACTATGCAAATTTATTTGGCATAAAAAACTTTTGAAGAACCATGATTTGTAAAACAAGTAAAACTGTATTATTGCAATAATAAACATCTATCTATAAATGTATTCGAGAATAATTTGTGTGCTCAATTGCCTAAAACATATCATAATGATCATTTTCTTATTTAAAACATGAATTATTATCAGTATGGCAAGTAGATTAAAAAGTAGTTTTTTTTGAAATTCAAAAATGGTGTTACTAACATCACACATGTTTTTGAGTTGATTTTTCATTTGTGGTACTAAATTTTGTAAAGATTTTTAACCAAGACCATTTGTGATCAGTGTTATGCGTTTTCACAATGGTTGGTCAGTCTTTCACTCCAATGTACAACGCAATGTTTCTTTTTTGAAGTTATAGTGACTACGTAAGTTTTGAACTCATGATTGTAGCACTATCATACTTCACCTAATCAATGGACCTAGATTGTTTCATTATAACATGTTTATGATTTTGTTAAGTGAAAATTGAACCTGTAGGCACCCTCCCAGTTATCATGGAAGCAGAAATTCTTTTCTGCATTTTTCTTTGTCATCTTGAATCCCAACGTGACAACATAAAATATTTTGATTTGTTAACTTGCATACTCACCTCTACCAACAAATATAGCTCTTGGCTTGCAATTACTATTACTTCTTTTCTCTTCTAAGCCACTAACCAAACGTATTACTGCATTAAGAGACCTAGCCTTGGGAACCTTGCCCTCTTCAGTTCCAGGCCACAGAGAAGCATTAACATGATGTTCCTCAAACACTGTCATGCTTTTTCTCCTCCATTTGAGAACAGTTAGTAACTTTCTGTTGCCTGTTATATCAAGTATAATCCTTTCATCCTGAGAGTTAATATTGTCCCTTCATCTGACCCTTTCTCTTTTAGCAGTCTCATTTCTTCTTGCTCTGCCACATCCTCTGTTACTTCCAAGCCATCTGGTCGTTATTAGCACACAGGATTTGCTTCTAACTGCTTCCCTGCCTATGCAGATGTCACCCTCTGAGTCCCCGGGAACCCACAGCTCTGAGGCAGTCACTTCCATCTTTGGAGGGTGAGTTAGAGAGCTTTTCCCTTTACTGACCCAAAATCAACTATAGGATACAGTATAAAATTTTTACCTTTATCTTTGTGTGTATGTCAATCTAAGGAAGCCTTCTTTCTCAGCTGTTTTGCATATGTGTGTTATGTCGACAGTGGCACTTTTTATAAGCTGTAGGGAAGGCTCTCTACATCTGGCACTGTCACATTTCCATACCCTGATCTACCCTCCCACAACCCCAGAACCACAACAGCGTGAGCGCTGACTTTGTGCCTAGTACATATTTAATACATATTTGATGACTAAGCTATGTTCTAAATATGGAATTTTTATACGTGAAAGTATACGCACTTAAATATGCATGGTAACGGAAAGCAAAATCTCTATCTCAGAAATGATTATGTGAATTTTAATTTTACAGGTAGAATGCAAGCCTGATCACATGCATATGTACCCCCCAAATGCAGCAAAATGCCTAAACATTATTAATTGTTTAACAAGAAAACATTACATTTTGTATGCTTAGCTATAATTGGTTAACTGAGACAATGTTACATGTTGTATATCTATCCCGACTTAGAATGCCTTGGTTTTCTAAATATGTAACGCACTATTATTCTCTAGATCATAGAACCATTGGCATATTTAGCTCCACATGTGCAATTTCAAACAATGCAGGAAAAATATTGATAGTTTTGCCTACATTTTACAATGTGAATATGAGAAAATATCTTGGCATTGTTACTACAAAAACGACAATTATATCTTTCAAATAGTCTATGTTGCCTGACCTTTTATTAGTACCTCTAAATTGTTAGTATCTCCAAATGTCCTTGCATTTTAAACTATTTCAAAAATTGTGTTTCCATAACAATTTTAATTGAATCTCCTGTGATGCTATTTTAATCATTGTAATCAGCCACAGCATATAATTAGATTTCAATCAGAACCTTTAATGCTATGCAGTAATCGGAGAGGAGACACTTATAAAAATATTAAGTCCATGTGGGTTTCTTCTCCTGACATTCCTCTACCCCATCCAAGTGACACTAAACAAGGATGATAACACCCTGGAGAGCTGAGGTTGCTTTCCATTGGTCCCACGTAATGTGGAAAATATTGTCCAGGGGCAGGTAGGTAGTGTCATTATCAGTTGATGTCTGGTAGAAAGATGAACATATGGTGATAGAATTTTCATTAAGGCTGTTACTTCTCTTGTGACCAATAAACTCTGACTTATTTGTCAAATGGCTGCTTAGGGGTGGGAGTGCACTTCCAGGTCATGCAGGAGATTGAAGCTCTGGGGCATGGCTGGCATGGGGTGAGATGGGTGGCACAGGTGTGGAGGAACAATGGGGAGGGGTCATCTACAGCCCACATTGCTCTGTTGTACTGCTTTGCAGGAATTATGAGTAGTGAGTTATTCTTTTTCAGTTCTTATTATCACTAGATTTCTTTAAAGCCCACTTTTATGTCTTCCCATTAATCATCTATGTAATTTTAGAAGGCAAAATGCATGAGGCTTAGAGCTAATTGTGCATTCTATTATGCCTTTAGATATCTGGATGAAAGTCATGTTCAACACTCAATACCTTCCCTAAAACTCATTTCCACAAGTATGATTTAATGATCTATTTACTTTAAAGGTTTGCCTTTGGGGACAATGGTTATCTTGGTTAGCTCATTTGAAAGAAGAGAATTTTCTTTCATGGAATCTGTAAGTATTTAGAAAATAGTATTAGTAATGTGGGCTTTGAAAATACATTTAATAAAAAATGTGTTGAAAATTATGCTTTGACTATCCCTAGGTAGAAAGGACCCCTTTACACCTATGCAGAGAATGAGAGCCATAGCACCTACCATCCTCAAACTCCATTGATTAAACACTGGAACCAGCCGGCTGTGAAAGCAGTGTGGATGAGGGCAAATTGCAGCTTTGTTTTTCAGCTCTAAAGTCAGTATGTGCAAATAATAAAAGAAGGATACAATGACAGAATTCTTAAATGTGATGCTTGCTAATCAGTTTCGTTCACCATTCATAGTCAATCTATCACACTATGTGTCACTAGCTAGCTAGAAACGCAAACTTAAGTCTCACGTATGCCTTTCAATTTGATCTCTTAATTTCCTTTTTAGTTTGAGGTTTTGAAAACCAACAGTCTTCAGTAATAACATCCATGTCTTCTAGGTATAAGTCATACACTTGATTACAATAAAGAGATATTTTCCTAAGTTTCTAACAGCAGAGTGCAGTATTTTGCAAGGAGCGGTGACTTTTTTGTAGGTATTCATTTCTGTTAGTCTGTGCTTTTTTTGAGCTCTTATAATACAGTTCAATCAGAATGTGTGCAAAAACTCTTCCGCTATAAACTCTACATTAAAATTTTCTAAAACTTAAGTCAGAAATACTACTTCAACCGAGTTCTGGATTTAGTGAGAACAAAAACAAGGTGGATTTCAGACGGGGAAGGACTGTCTCCTTCTAGATGTCAGTGTCCACCCCGGAGCCACATGTGCGGCAGAAGATTTCCTTGTTTTGGGTCAGGAAGCCTTCCCCCACCAAGGAGACTGAGCACTTCTCGCAGTTAAAGCATTCGCTGTGCCACTGGCGATCTTGAAAGCAGATGAACTTGGCACCTCTGAGACCTGTAAAGGAATTGGAGAAAAAGAATAATCTATTATTTCAATGACTAGATTGAGCATTCTATCAGGTACTCTTCTGGGAACTGGAGATAAAGCAACGAGCAAGATGATGTAGAGGCAAGCAACCTAAAAAAGAATGTTGCCCTCAGTGGCCCTGTGTCCATCTGAGAATGTCACCCACAGGCACGTTCCTCCTATGTGACCTAACCAGATTCCCGGCCAAATTTTTCCATAATCTCCACAAGTAAGGAGAATCTGAATATACAAAGCGTGTATTTTTGGAAAATAAGGATTGTTAGGACAGCTAAGGAAATACAGTGTAGTGCAGTGGGAAAAAGGAATAGGTTTTGAAGTCGGAGATATCTAAGTATGAATATTTCTGCTCTTTCTCTCTTCATGACTTTGTTTTCTTAGCTGAAAAATTAAGATAAAACAAAATAAACGTACGCTTCCTAGCCTGTCTGATGTTTTTGTGACTTTTAGTTCTCTTCTCTTCCCTCTTTTTCCATGTTTAAATTTAATTAGGATAAAGTCCCATGGTCATATTGTGGTTCAGGACCCAATTTCCAAAAACTCCAAATAGAGAATTTCATCCAGACTACCATGTAGCTGGCCTAATGTAAGGACCTCATTACCTTGCCCAGAGATAACTTCAGCCTAGGGTTGCAACAAAGATCTGTGAATTTGATCACTGGCCACCAAGGCCACACTATCCAATGAGTAGTTTCTAAGAAGTGCCTTGTCAGTCCCACCACTTCCACTTGGGCCTCACTTGAGCCATAGGGTTTCTAAGAAAGGTAGCAGAATTTGAGCCTTCAGTGAGACTCTCTCTCTCTATCCCTAATATGAATCCAGGGTACAGTTCAAGGGATTGATTTTGAGGAGCTGTAGAAAAGGACGAAAGTTCTGGGCATTGGGAGGGGGTTGGGATGCCTTAAGCTTGGGTCTTTATCTATTTGCCAAGTTTTCTTCAAATGATCTTGGTGCTATGAACTTCCTGTGATTTGCTTTTCACCCATAGAGTGAGGGTAAAATAGTTCACGTGCAGACACATACAATTTCCAAATATTCCATTTGGGATGGTGAAGCAAAAAGGATGAATAAGCATTGTATTTCAGATAAACTCCCCTTAACTATGATAATGAACTTTTCTTTCCGTCCTGGAAACATTATTTGATATCTTTACATATAATTTACTAGTTTGTAGATAAATTTACATCAAATTCCTCTACTTTCCTTCATTAAATTTATAGCTTGCTTATTTATGAGGCTATCGTTATTACTGGCTAATAAGAGTAAATCAATAATGTACCAATTAATTCCCTTAATGTTATTCAAAACATTAATAAGCTGACTGCAAGAATAATGTTCTATATACACATAAATCATCTCTGCTCATAAAACTAATTACACATCTAGCATTACACATAAAACTATTACACATTTAGCATTTTGATGCTCATGAGTTTTTCTTGATTTTATTAGTAAGCCTTGTACAAGTGACAAATGCAAAGACAATTCTTCTAGAATTTTACAAAGAAGAAAAAAATAGAAGCATCTGGCAGGAGAAATTTAAAAAAGTCCTGACCCAACACGAGATGTTTGTAAGTTGTTCCAATATGTTTACTCAGGTTGGGAGTGTCATTTGCAGTTACAAAGTCATCTTGAAAACAGGTCTCTGGTGCCTGTGTTATCTAGATTCACTTATTCCTGAAGAATCAGTAGAATAAGAGCCAGTATTTGTTGAGCACTTGAAGAAGAGCCAGTCACTATTCTAAGTCCTTTACATATGTTACTTATCATATAGCTCTCACCTCAGCCTTGTGGGGTGGATAATACCACTAACCCTACTTGGCAGACAAAATCTGAGAAACAGAGAGGTTCAGCAACTTGCCCAAGGTCACCCAGTTGGTAAATGGCAGATCTGGAATTCAATCCTAGGCCATCTGGCTCCAGAGTCTATGCTCTTAACTTCACCAAATTAAGTTTTAATTTATCTTTTGTTAAGAATGTAACCAGGAATATTAGCATTGCTTTCTGAAGAAACCATAACATTTGAAACTCCCTTTCCTCAAAATAAACAGAAATGGAAGAAAGCTAAGATGTGAACCTATTCATCTCATTTTGTAAATAAGGCAAATGAGCCCCTCGGAGGTGTTATTTAGCCACGATCACACAGTAGTCAGGGGCAGAGGAAGGCCAAGGTCTTTTACTCCCTGGTCCTGAGGACTTCCCACTGCATCAAGCTGCTTCATTTACCCCAGAAAGTCAGAAATGTTAATCCTATCTTAGAGGAGGAGAAAAAAACTGTAGTTATACCTTGAGTTTGTTCAAATGAAGCACATTCATTGTGATGCAAATTTAAAAAATTGTATCTGGTGACTTATAGATAGATTTAGTTAATATAAAATATTTTGAAAACATTGTAACATAGGATGACGTATTGTTTGCACTAATGCCCAACTTTCAGAAGATAAATATATGGCAGTATAAGGATTCCCTATGGTCCCTTAGTTCAAATAGCTCAATTTTAAAGAAGCACAACTGCAGGGCCATATATATTTAAGAATCAGATAAAAAAATATTAAGTGAGTTGGGTGTTTTTGCAGGCACTTTAGTCTCTCTTGTGTCTCAATCACAGAGCCAAAAGAAGATTAAGATAATTATCAAAAGACTGGTTATTCTAAAATAAATACGTAATTCTGCATTTGGATTACTTTTGGGTTAAATCTTTGGTTCCTGGTCATCCTTATGTTACATGCAGGACAATGTGGTTTTTCTGCATGAACGTAAAGAGGCGGGGCTCAGTGATTGACCTGCAAAAATCCATCACAAAAAAATCAGTTGGACACACGAGTCTGTGATGGATCAGAATGGAAACTCATGAAGTTCAGGGCTCATGTAAGCCCTTTGTAGATCAGGATTAGCCATTTGCATCCCCAGAAAGTTTTCAAATACATTTTGAGCTGTTTAATTTTCTCGTTTCCTCACGGAAGCCCCCTTTTTTTCCCACCCAATTCAAGAAAAGTGTCGTAGAATAAATCGACTGAATCCAGTGATTGTCGATTCTACTAAGGAGATTTTGGAGCTCTAGGTACTGTTGTGTTCTGGAAGTCCCACTTTCTAACTAAGACTGTTGGAAATGGTGGCTTATTTTCTTGACTGCCAGAGTTGCCAGATGTGTAGAAGGCAGGAGAGTAGAATGGTTAACAGCACAAGCTTTGGAGACTGAAAGTCTGGGATTGCCAATGCAAGTCCTTGAAAGGTTGGGGAGATGACATAGCTGAGTGATGGAGACAAGGTGTGAGGAACAGAGAGGGCATGGCCTTCACAGTGGGACAGTCATTTAGCTCCATATGACAGCGACCCTGCCAGGGAATGTGAGGGCAGTCTGCTCACACCTGGCAGGCTTTTCGTTTACATTTGGCTGCAGAGATGAGTTTTACATTAGTTGTTTCCAAACACGTGCAGCCAAACCAAATATGCTTGCTGGCCAGGTGAAGCCCATGGGCCAGTGTGAGATTCTGAAAAACATGGTGCCCTATGTAGACAAACAGCACTGCACTCCGCTTATCCAGGTAACCCTCTCCCTCCCCTTTCAAGTCAGTTTAGGCCTGCCAAGCTGGGTTTGCAGCAAAATTCTTCTCTTTCTTTGAAGATGCGTGAAGATTCAACTTTTATTTTGTGATATATTTGAAGATGGAGGAGGAGGAAAGGCATAAAACAGTCTTTAATTCTGTGTTACATAAACTGAACTAAAAAAATGAAATATGATCTAAGACTACCAGGAATGGGGAATAGAAGTACAATTCTGGCACATTATTCAGTAAATTATAAATTGCCTAAAAGAATAGCTGCTGGGTTTTCAGGTGTCATGCTAGCTTCAATTCTTTTACTATAGGATTAGCATTTTAGAAGTGTCTCTGAGGAAAATATACTGTGTTTTTCACCTTGAAAAATCTGTTTAACTTGGATCAATTTACCGTTTATGCTATTTTCAAATCATGTCACATGTATTTTGTTTCTTCAGCAGCATGCTATCTTGTTTTATTTCGTCTATTCATAATTAACACTTGTTGCAAGTGAATAGAGAGAAAAGAGAATAATACGTTTGTTAGAATCATCTTAAAATGACGTTTAATTAATTCCTGACCTATGCTACTCTTAATTACTATGGCTTCAAATTTTTGTACAATACTTGCATTTAATTTAAACTTTTCCTATTTTAAAGCCCCTTTGCCCTTGTTTGGATTTAAGCAGGATTTTGATTTATAAGTATCCCTTCCTCCCACTCAGGTCCGTAAAGGTCTGGCTCAGATCAGGTCTCCCCATGAAGATCTGCTTTGACCTCTCAGCTCATCTGTTCTCCTCCTTCGCCAAACTATTACTTTACTTAGAGTCAGTACCGTTAGGTTTAGTATTAATTACCCTCTACAGATCATAGCTACCCTCATTATACTTTACATTTGCCTTGAGAGGTCAGTGTAATCTTTGTTTTTGTATATGGGTACATACGTGTGTTTGTCTCAAAAGGAAACATAAGGGAAAGAGTATCCATTTTTTTACTTGCATTTCCTAAATTAACTATATAGCATTTCCACAGCCAGAACTGTCTCGTGGTAGGACTGTATTAAACCGAAGAACTCACCAGTAATGGGTTTGAGGCAGGCGGCACACTTTTTGGCGTAAAGGTGGTTGTAGCAGTCCAGGCAGAATGGATAATCATCTCTGGACATAAACTCTTCTTCACAGAGCTCTTTCCTACAGCCACTACACAGAAAACACTCTTTATGCCATGGCTGGTCCCGAAATGTTATCCCACCTGAAGTTATCACCTGGCAAGGGATCACAAAAAAGGTAATGAGCTTGGGAGCCATCACAATTCAGACTTTTGTGGTTCTCTTCTACATCCACAAGTGCTACTTTGGGCTGCTTGGTCACCTTATGTTGGGATGTCCTTTCCCTGTGATTTCTTTTGAATCAATATGAGAAGCAAAAGGCTGTAGAGATTAAATAGGACTGGCAAGAAATATCCTAATTTTTCTCCTGCAATGGAATAGAAAAGAAGCAGGGCCATAATGGACTCATGAAGAGGAACAAAGAAATAGGCCCCTCATTCCTTTGTTCACCTTTCTCTGACTTTCTTGTTTGTCTTCAAAGATCTGCCAGTAGAGCTAAGATATCTTCTATACTATTTCTTATTTCCATGTACAACTTTTAAGGATGCTGAAGAAAGCTACTTTTTTCCTGAAAGCTCTATTCTGGGTTCAAGGATATCCAGCAGTAGTAAACTTGAATGGAATTGATAAGCACCATCATCTGCTAATAATGAAGAATATTTCTTAAGTATTTTTTCGGTCCTCAGCCCTGTGCTAAGGGATGACCTCTTCTTAATATTCTCAACACCCCTACATGGTAGACGCTATTATGATCCCCTGTAGAGATGAGCAACTACTGAGGGTTAGAGTGGTTAAGTCACTTGCCAAGGTCACACAGAGCTAACATTCAAAACTGCACAATCTGACTCCATAGCCCTTGTGCTTAACCATTGATTCAATACTGAGGCAAGATTACTTTGCACTGATAAGCAGTTAAGTCCTTGTTGAATGAATAAATAAACACCAAAGGAAAAAAATGTTTGGAAAGCAATTCCAATATTGCGTCTAGCACAAATGGGGTGCTATGGGCAGCTTCATGAGTTTCCAGCTTAAGAACTCAAAGTAATGAGCACTTGGCTGTAATTGAACCTTAATATGTGACATGCTAGGGTTTTGTCAGAGATGCTTGTTATTTCTCCGTAAGATAATTTTTTTAAACTAGTTTAATCCTCTACTTTTCTTTTAATATTTTTTTATGGAGGTATAATAGACATATAACATTATATTTGTTTCAGGCATACAATATAATGATTTGATATTTGTATATATTGTGAAATGATCCCCACGATAAGTCTAGTTACCATCTGTTACCATATGAAGTTAACTTTAGGATTTACTCTCTTGGTGACTTTCAGGTATGCTCCACAATATTATTGACTATAGTCACCGTGCTGTGCATTACATCCCCATGGCTTATTTATTTGATAACTGAAAGTTTGTACTTCTTGACCTCTTTCACCTCTTTCACCCACTCCTTAACCCCCTCCTGTCTGGCAACCACCATTCTATTCTCTGTATCTATGATTTTTGTTTTGCTTCATTTGTTCATTTATTTTGTTATTTAAATCCACATATAAGTGAAATCATACGGTATTTGTCTTTTTCTGTCTGACTTATTTCACTTAGCGTAATTCCCTCAAGGTCCATCCATGTTGTTGTAAATGGCAAGATGTCACTCTTTTTTTGAGGCTGAGTAGTATACACCACATCTTTTTCATCCATTCATCCATCAATGGACACTTAGTTTTTTTCCACATCTTGGCTATTGTAAATAATTTGGGGAACATAGGGGTGCATATATCTTTTTGAATTAGTGTTTTTGTTTTCTTTGGATAAATATCCAGAAGTGCAATTGCTGGATCCTATGCTAGTACTATTTGTAATTTTTTGAGGAATCTCCATACTGTTTTTCTCTTAATGGCTGCACCAGTTTACATTCCTACCAACAGGGCACGAGGGCCCCTTTTTCTCCACATCCTCGCCAACACTTGTTCTTTCTTGTCTTTTTGATAATAGCCATTCTAACAGGTGTGAGGTGATATCTCATTGTGCTTTTGATTTGCATTTCTGTGATGACTAGTGATGTTGAGCATCTTTTCATGTGCTTGTTGGCCATCTGTATGTCTTCTTTGGAAAAATGTTTATTCAGATCCTCTGCCCAGTTTTTAATCGGACTCTTTTTTTGCTATTGAGTTTTATGAGTTCTTTAAATATTTTGGATATTAACCTCTAATTGGATATATGATTTGCAAATATTTTCTCCCATTCAGTAGGTTGCATTTTCATTTTGTTGATGTATAGGTTTTACTTTTTAAAAGGCTAAAACATCTTTATTTAGAGTCAGATGGATAAATATGGACAGCTCTTCCTGTTTAACAATTTCTCAGTCACAGCTTCTTTCAAATCCATGGTTATTGAGCTCCTGGAACAGCTGTGGAACCTGGAATGTGTACATGTAAATGTCTTATAATGACTGAAGCAATACGATCTCTGAGACAGTTCCTGTCATCTTTGTATTCAAATTAACTAGATATAGAAAGTGTAGAGCCTATTCTAAGCCATCTTATTGTTGACAAATTAAAAAATGTTATTTGTTGGTGAATAGGATTTTGAAAAGATTATTCTAAAGATATTTTTAAATCTTACGACACATATCTTAAAAATTAAAGAGATGTGATAGAAAAGTTATTTTTCCTAAAGGAAAGAAGTATACTATTCTAAATAAGTAAATGGGAAACATAATGGTGTGTGTGAACTAAAGCAATTTAAATTACCCCTCACTGAATTCAAATGCCTTACAGCAGGCACAGCAGAATTCAAGATTCCTTTGATATGTTTGGTCAAATGATTAGCAGGCAATGCTTAAAAGATTCAAAACTTGAAAAATGTATTCACAGCAAAATAAAACTTGATATATACACCAAAGACTGTGTAATTAGGGAGAAGAAACTCTGGAACATTAAAGATAGCTTGCTTGTGATTATGTTCCTTTTGAAGAGGCAAGTGGGCTAAGATGAAATCTAATATTTGAGCTTGGTTTTTGCCACTGATTGATCCCAGAATTTAGGACAAGTTTTTTCTCTAGTTAAGTGGAGGCAATAATGATTTTGTGCTCGGTAGACCACAGCTGATGAATCACAGAATATTCTAGCTGAACCTTGAGGAATTTGAATTCAAAGCACGTATAGTTTGAGGTTACTCGACTTTTGGTAGAAAATAAATTTTAGTTTCGCAAAATAAAATCTAGGAAAAAAGTCCTCATGGCCTGGTTGTCAAGTAGTTTTTTCCTATTTTGTTTTGTTTTACATTTGGTCTTTGGTTTGGGTTGAAACAAATTGTTTTTCTTCAGCTTGGATCATCTTAATCAGAAACATTTATATCTAGCTTTCCTTAAAGGACTTGTGGTTTAAAAAATTAAATAGAAAATAACCTGGCATGTCGTGATCTGTCCACCACCCAATATAAACATTTCATAAATTTGTGGTGACTTCAAATCATGTCCTAAATATAGGACAGGCTCCTATGACCTGGGAAAGGCCACTGCTCTGGCCCCAGACAGTGCTCAGCACTGTTGTACTAGAGAAGTTCCCCTCTTAATCTCTATAGCATCAAAAGAAACTTTATACTGTACCACCAATAAATGATTTTAAGATTATTCCCACAAGTCTCATTAATATTTTAGCATAAGTCTTTAAGAAACATAGCTTAAAATGGCCAGCTTAGTTATCCCTCAAAACAGTGAGATAAATCTATCCATATTATTTCCAGCCCTGTTTCTAAACGCATGTCATTGACTCTGGTAATTCTCTGGAGCATCATACATCACAGGGTCATAGGGTCTGACTGTTGCTTTTAGTCATTTTCTAAGTCAGTGTTTCTGGTAGACTATCGGAAGTCTCTGAGTATAAGATAATTTTATGTCATGTTACTATCAATTGTAATTTTCAGCCATCATTGTAGCGTAATTTAATAATTATTGCTTAGGAGTTTATTGATGTGTTTTCAAATGCAGTACTAGTATTTTAAATATATGTAGAAAATTACTGTGTATGTGTGTGTGTGAGCATGTGTGTTTCTATATTTGCAGAAAGTGGTAGTGAGAATTCTAGCTGTCCAGATACAAGTAGACAAATGGTCTTAAGAGATCTGCCAAAGTAGTTCACAGATCAAAAATGTTTAGAAACCACTGTACTAATCCAATATGTTTTCATGATTCAACTTGCTCATCACAATTTATAGTGTTATTTTAAACTTAGGACACCTGACAGGTCAAGGATTTCTTCAAGAACATCAATATATATTTTATGGAATACAGACAGGTTTTACCAAGATGATAGAGATGAGTGACTTTTTCACATAAAAGCGTACAGGATAAAAAAAAGTGGACAAAGTTTATTTAAAAACAATGACTTTTTCCTATTGGAAAATATGTTTTGAATGGGTATCCAAGTCAAAAGGCTCTATGTAATACTCTGGAGCTGAAAGTGAAGGAAACCATTCTCAGCCCTTAGTTTTCTTTCTGTCTCTGTGTCTGAGGAATTTCCCTAATGACCTTGTCCCTCTCTTGAGCCTATCAATCTACTCATTAGAAACAAAAAAGCTTCAAGACAAGAAGACATTTGCATTGCTGGGACATAATGTGAGGAGTTAAATATCCTGTTTAAATTGGTTCCCTTAGTCACTTTGTGAGACAAATCGATATTCTCTGAAACTAAATGGGTCAAAAATTATTTTCTAAGAAATATTTTGTATTCAAAGAGGGATGTATGCCCTCTCCACCATAATACATGAAATCTTGTGTGAGTACCAGTGAATGGAACTGGAATATCAAATCACTTGAACTTTTGGAATATTAAATTCATGTTCTAGGTGGAATTTTATGGTGATAAAAATAGATGGCCATCCTCACTGTGACAGGTAGTGCTTTTGGACATGTTGGAATTCAAAACTAATGTGAATGTGTATAGACAGATATAACATGATAGTATCAGTTCACTGCAAATATATAATGTGGCTAAAGAGCAATGGTCTGGAAGGTCCCACAAGCTTCATCCTTTTTAGGTAATTACCTTCTTACAAAAGCTGCAGTAGTGAGCAAACTCCTTCTCAAAACACGGCACACAGTAATTGCCACTTTCTTTGGAAATCAAAGGTTTTGTTCCTATTGGCTGGCGGCAAATCTCACACACAAAGCAGGTTTCATGCCAGTAGTTCCCCTTAAATTCCATTTTGCGAGAACCTATACCCCAAAAGTAAGAACCTGTTAGTACACATCAAACATAACTTTCTTTTCTTTTAAAAGCAAAGATATGTCAAATTACTTAAAATACATATTTTAAAGTCAAGGTGAAAAACTAATCATCTTTATAGAAAAATAGTGTTTTCTTAGTTTCCAAAACATTTATCTGAAACAAAAGGTAAATAGAGTTCAGCCATGATGATGGTGAATCACTCTTTCCCTGAAAACTCTTGTATGTAAGCAACAATTTGGAGATATGCAAGTCCTGTGAAGACTCTGAAAGGCTGCATGTGGTTTAGCTAAATTGGGCCATAATAATCATCACAGGGATATTAAGAATGCCCGGGGCATCAACTCCTGAGACTGATGTTGTGCACTTATGGTCTCCTAGAAAATATTTGAATGCATAATAAGAAAATGAGAGCGAATCGTGTTCTTACGCTGCTATCCATAGGGATTGAGAAGAGGATCAAAACATAGCGAATTAGTACTTACCTAAAAGTGTAATAATTTGCATTGATCCTTGTCTTCTCTAAGAGAGAACAGATGACTGACCCTTAAACCAATTTGTGTTGACCTACAACAAATTGTTGGCCCCATTCTCTTACGATGGATTATGCTTTCTGATACCATCGGTTATACCTAGCATAGGATGTTTAATGTAGTGTTACTATTATTGGTATAGATTTTATCTTTATTCTCTGGCTCAGATTCTGAAATGTTTTCATGAATTAGGTTTATGAAAATACACAGAACACCGTTCAAAGCAGAAAGAATAATTTTTTTTATTTCTAAAGTACATTAAATGACATCAAGAGATAGCAAGAAAGATGTCTTTCTCAAAAGCAGGATTTTGTTAGCTCCTACACTATTCCTGTGCTTGGGCTTAATGCAAAGCATTGCAGCTTCAGGTAGAGATGGGAACTCCCTTGTGAGCTTACCAGGCATGATGGTCTTCTTGCAGTGGAAGCACTTGGAGGAGCACTCATTAGAATAGCACTCTGAGCACAGCAGACGCTCATCCTTGGCAGCAAAAGGCTTTTCCACCAAGGAATGATTGCATTTGGCGCAGTTGAAGCATCCTTCATGCCAGTGCAGGCCTTTGTAACAGAGATCCTTTGAGACAGTAAATAAAAGTTAATTAAATGTGTTTGCGACAAAACAGGCCATTTTATAAGACAAAACTGAACACTCCTGGGATTCTGGTGCCACTAGGTTGTGCTGGTAGCTTGAGGGAAAGTTGTTATTGATAACTGTTACTCATAGAGAGGAGACTCTCTGGGGCAATTAAGGGCTGGAGCCTGGGGCTTTCTTGGTTGGTCATTAAAGACAGATGGAAAATAAATGGACTCTCCCTATTTCTTCAAATTTCCTCTACCTTACTTTTATAAACTACAAGAGAGGTTTTTCATGGAATGATTTTTATTTTTAGGTTGTAATATCCTACTACTGTTTGAGATTTAACTTAAACAAAATCTCAACATCACCTAACTAAATGAAAGGCAAAACAAAAAAATAAGCAAAAGAAAAAAAATACAATAATGTGCATCGTGGGAGGAATGGGCTATATGTGTTGGAAGTATCAGGACACAATGGGTTTAGTGGAGTGGAGGCTGATTTGAAGTCAGAAAATATATATGTTTGAATCTTTACATCTCCAATTATTTATGTATTCATTCATTTGTACTCTTGTCAGTCCATAAATAACTCAACATTTTAGCTGTGTAACTTTGGGCAAATAAACTATCCTCTTTAATCTTTAGCATCCTAAACTATCTCCTATGATCATTGTGAGGATAAAGTATATGTTATATTTCACAGTACTAAGCATAGTGGCTGGAACTCGATTGGTGGTAACTTGGAAGATCCTTATATCCAGCAGCAGAGCAACAAAGTATAAACAGTCAATATTAAAGGAAAAGAGGCATTCCAAAGCATTTGTTTGCTGTTCATGTGCAATAATTCTGTGAATTGAGGTAAGACGTACCTTGGAATCCGATTCAATTGGTTCTTTGCACTCCTCACAATAGTTAGAAAAGATACGATCATAACATGAAACACAGTATGCATTGTCATCCTTTAGTACATACTTCTTCCCAAGAAGTGATGCTGTGCAGTATTGGCAATTGAATTGAGCAGCTGTCATTTTGGTTCAACCCTGTGAATCAGAAAATGATTCATGCATATAAAAGCAATTTTTTTGATAAGATAAATTATAAAGCTTCAATACGAGTCAAGCACTTGAATGAATTTATTTTTTTTAAGCAAAAAAACCACCAATTTAGGAAAATATAATGTAGTTTTGGTGATACTTGGAGTGATTTAGGAAAGGCTACTCTCCCATCTTGGCAATTCTTGTGTGTTTTGCTAACAAATGCATCAAGCCAGCAGCCACTTTGTGAAAACATCTTGTATTCATCATTCACTAATGTGGAATTCAATGAGAATGTGGTATGTGCTGAAATAGGATGGTTTTACCTCAAGGATATAAATATGAACTGTTGATAGGGCTTTCACTAACTGTCATCACTTACTATCTTGCTGAAGACTTCCGGAGGCAGAGTTCCGTGGAAATAACAACAGTCTTTTTTACTCTGGCTGAAATAGAAATTAATAACCAAGTACATTGTCATTTTCTAGGCCATCCTTCTATTTCTCAAATCTTTACTGGAAACCTAATGAGGGTTCTGCACGTTAATCCTAAGACCTTCCTGAACTATATATACTCTCCCTTGGGACATCCTCCTGACCTGTGGCTTCAACCTCCCCAAATATGCTGCTGACTCCAAAATCTCTAGTTTTAGCCTGTTCATCACATGCCTCCTGGGCATCTCCATTTAAATGTCCCACACCAAGCTGGCCAAATAAAACTTCAGCAGGTAGGATTCAGTCCAAGTGCTAGGTCTTTGTGACTGCTGTTGAGCAATTGCCCAGATGGAGAAGTGCAGTTGAAATCATCAGTAGTAGAAAAGAGCTATAGGCTTCTTCAGGCTTTAGGGCTAAATTAACACGTATATAGAATGATTAATAGCAGCCACATCTTACAGAATGAAAACTGATATGAAACATAAAGTCAAGGTCAGGATAAGAATTCTAGTTATTTTGTAAATTTAGGAAAACCATTAAGGAATAAAACATATGGATTTCAAAAGGTTTAATTAGCATTGAACACGAGTTTTTCATTGTCACCAAAAGTGGTACCACTGATTTTCTTGGAAAATGAGATTTGTCATCTATAGATTTACTGGGATATATTAGGAGCTATGAATATTTTCTAATTCTGGCATCTCAGAAATTTTTTTCTAATTTTACCAAAATCAGAAAATCAATTAATTATTATGATGCTTTTTACAGCATTTTTAATGTTATTTTTTATTTACCACATTCAAATTGTATTCTCACACATTTTATCTTCTTTTATTTTAATGATAAAGTTTCCAGCAGAGTGTCTTGCTGAGTGTACATTGTCATTAATTCTGTGTATAGTAGTTTTGCTACGTTATTCTTCACTAACAGAAAAGACGGAGGATTTGGAACATGCGAGTCTTTTCCCAGGAAAGATGAAAATTTAGACTAGAAAGTTCCCAATGGAACATGCCAAAATTATCTGCAAAGAACATTGAATTCCCTATTTGATTAATTCCACAGAAATGTCCCTTCCTAGTGAATACAAACACACTCAAAAGCTTACTGAAGGTTTGGAAACAGGAGGAAAACAGATCTGAGTCACTTGAAAGGTTTTAAAATGCAGTTTTATTTGGATTTACAGTGATCAAGTGTTTATCTCTTAATAGTGAAATAAGACATATACCTTTAACTTTCATCACTTAATATGGAAAATGACATTGTAGTTATTAGTATTCACCTAGTTTTAGATGTACATAATAGCGCCATTGAGGAGCACAGCCTCTCAGGACCTGGGAACTCCTAGGTTACTTCCATTTTGTGAGGCTTTTAGTATATTATAAAATGAAGAAGGAACAAAAAGGATTACAAAATTGGTAGTATTTCCAGTGTTTATTTTAAACAACACTTCAAACATAACAACATTATAATACTTGTACCTCATTTGGTGATTAGGTCAGAAGTCTAAATATATAAAACCTAAATAAATATTAATTTTATATTTATATATAGATATCTAAATATATATCAATAAATATAAATACTTGTCTAAATATAAGAAAAGGAGAGATGGAACTTCCTCATCCCCATCCTCGCCACGTAATAGGCCTTGCTCCATAGAGAATTCTTAACAAAATGGGCCATATTTTCTTCATTTTTTTTTAAAGGAGAAAGTTACTTCTTGTTCCATCTGTTTTTTAAAAGCAACGTAAGGGAGTTGGGTAGGGTGAGAACAGTCAGTTCAATATCTCAAAATCTTGTGATTTGGCATTTTGTAGAACCATACAGTGAGGGTAGACATTTAGCCCAGGTCAACATCTATTGAAAATCTACTCATAATATTTGAACTCTCTGTCCTCAAGAAGTCTAGGTTCTTCTGGCTCAGCGCTTATCTTTGTAATAGTGAATATAATTTGAGGTAAGAGAATAAACTGAATGTTCACTCTTATTCTTGGTTGAGGAAAATACATTGAGCAATTCAGTCCTCATTTCCACAAAGTCTATCATTTAACTATGGATATATGAATACATCCAAATAGAGTTTCTCAGATACAGGTATTATAACCAACTAACTGATACACATTCCACTAGAACCACATAGAGTTCACAGGGAACGAATAGAAAGGAGAGTGAGGAGTTACAGTATAGGGAGACCTTTCTAGGAAGACTATACGGAAGTTAAGGTGTTGGAAATCTGTTAGGAAGGAGGGAAGGAAAGAAGGATCCATCTTGATTTAGCAGGAAAGGAAGAGGAAAAGACAAATGAGAGAATAGCACAGGATCTCATCGGAAGTTGGGTAATGGTGAGTTTTGCAAACAGATTTTCATCTGGGTACATTCAGGATAAAAGAAGAACTTGAAACTACTTAAAAAATGTTAAAACTATTGGAACCTTTAGTACAGCAGTTTTAAATAGGGAGTGAGCAGGCAAAAGAGAGAAGAGTATGAATATTTCCAATCAGATCACTTTTTATCACCTTATTCTCTCCGAGACGTCATTCTGTAATTTTTCCTCTCCTTTATCCCTAACGTTAATATTTAAAAATATTCAGAGAGTATCTTTGAGTCCAGAAGAGCACACCAAATGGCTTGTTTATAATCATCCCCTAACAGGGAAAGCTGTAGGAAAGAGGATAAGGACTATGTGATTCTCATCTCAGGAGCCCCCATCTGAGGGTTAATTTGGCAAAGATATTAGGAAAATTTTGCTTTCAAAGATTTAAAATCCTCAAGCAAAGTGGATTTATAATTACGAGCCATAAGAAATCCTAATATTAACAATGTACCCCAATTGGATAGCATTTAAATTTTTGGGGTGTGAACTCAGAAATGCTAGTACCAATATCAATTAAGTATTCTTAAACTTCTTTCAAAGGGATTCCATATGTCAATTAGGTATATTCTTGTCAAGCTTCTTTCCAAGTCATTCTGAAATTATACAACAAGTTTAAGCACAGAATTTTTATCACTGCATACTGGGGTTTTAGAAGATTGATTTAGAGGTACCCATGTAGAACCCATGAAGATGAATAAATAGTTCAGAAATCCAATGTCATGAATGGATTTGGCTTTCTTTTTCCAGATCCCTCCCTTAGATTTTAGATTTCTACCTAAAAGGGTATGAGTTCACTGCTAATAATTTCCATAGCTGAGGATGCCATTTCTGAGATGTTATTTTTTAAACCAGGTATAATTTTGTGTCAAGTTATATTTTACGGTGAGTTATTGATTAGAAGGCTAATGCTGTGACCAGTATACCCACTTATATTTTTACTATGCTGAGTGGAATTAATAGATTCACAGGAAGTGTACTTGAGACAATGACAAGCAGGAGAGAGGCAAGAACTTGATGCCATGCCTGGTATCTTTAATATGCTTTTGTTTGCAAGGCATCACACATTCATTTATTCATGCTTTCAATAAACACATAAGTATTTTTTATTTGCAGAGTAATCTGCTAAAAGTTGTGATGGACATAAAAGTAGATTAGATTCAAATCTTATCCTCAGAGAATTTATAATCTAGTAGGAAGAGGAAGGACATTTTATAAACAACTAAACAAGAGTTAGGAAATGATAAGGGGAAATGAAAGACTGTAGGAATTTAGAGCAGTGGTCAGTGGTTCTAAACACAGAGTGAAGATTAGAATTTTAAAAATTTCCAAAGTGCACCCTACCCCAAACCAATTAAATCTGAATTTCTGGAGGTGGAGAATGAGAATAAGTATTTTTCAGTTCCCAGGTGGTTCCAATGTCCAGCAAAGGTTGAAAACCACTAGTTCAGAGAAGGAGGAAGGCTAATTACTTCTAGCTAGGAAAACTTCACGGACAACTTGGAGAAGGGGCATTTGAATGGATCCTGTGGTAGATACTAGGGATTGGTTCTCTCAACCTTGGCTCTATCCTCCTTCTAGTTGGAGAGGTCAGGTAGCTAGAAACATTTCCTGGACCCTCTTACAGCTAGTGCTCGGGGTGAAAATTTGGCTCTTCTAACTCAAAACATATGTGTAAATTGGAAGGTGGAAGTAACATGATAGACATGTTCCTGCTGCTGTTGGTGCTGGCAGGCCGGGTCATAGAGATGTGAATGGTTTCCACCATTCAGAATGCATGGCCTCAGCTTTTCCAGGGTCCAGTGACTAGTTTTTTGGCTGTGAGAGATTGTTGTGGTAGTAGTATTGGTGGCGGCAGCTGCACGGTCCCGACCTCTGGATTACAGGGCAGAATGGATGTTGAGGTGGGCAAAGTGCAGTCTCTACAACTGTTGGACTAATATTAAAAATGCTAACAATGATATATAATAGTCCTGTGTGTTTCCTGAATACTGGTTACTGTGTTAACCACTTTATGTGGATTATCTCTTTTCATCCTCACAATGACCTCTAGGAGGGGTCTATTGTTATTATCCTCATGAATAATATTATCCTCATGATGAAGAAACCAAAGCTTAGAGAGGCCAAAATCACTTGGCTGATAAAAATGCTGGAACTAGGATTCAAACCTACACCCATCAGAAACTGAAGCCCAGGATCTT